CTTAATGTATATTTGAGCGAGCCCTGCTGACATCTTAAATGCGTTCTGATTAATGTAAACAACATAGCTACTAGATACGTTTATGGAAAAGGTAGTATAAAAGGTTTCATTTGACACAAAAATAATACGTACAGACCCCATCGGCGAGTGCGTCGTTTCCCCTGCGATTTCCCTGACACTAAAACAAACCCCGGGGTGTCGGCGAGCCGTTGACCCTCCGTAACAGGCGTCTCCCGGGCACGCCAGAGATGGGATCGTCTCTGCACGTTGCGCATTAGCCGCTCTTCCACATCACGTGGCCGGTCCGGTCGCGCGTCACCTGCCTGCCTCGCCCGCGCGCCTCTCGGTCCATGCCGCTGGAGTCGCCGCCGGGATTTTCAACCTTACGTCCCCTCTCGAGCTGGAAATGGCTGGAGATCTTTGGTAATTTATGTGAATTTCGGCCCTACGCGCCGTGTCACTGATCGAGACAGGATACCACGTGGTGGGAACGGTGATTAAGCCGGAATGTACTTATCTCGGCTCCTTGTGAGGATCTTGAGGGCCGGCTTTCGAATCCCGAGCTAATCTTTTTATCGCCCCGACGCAGTATTCCAGGGGCATTCGCGGGCACTTCATAGGCGGGCTTGGGAAATAAAGCTTAGGCAAGAATGGCGTATTTCCACTCCATTACGCCAACGTCGGGAAATTCCGGGCAGTGCGAGAGGCGAGGGAGGGGCGGGGTGGGGGAGGGGGTGGGGGGCGGCGATGGTCAAGTGGATGTTTTGAAAGTTCCCGCCAAGAGAGAGCGCGGGAGGGCGACGACCCACAACCAAACAAAAGACAGCCGGGTTGCGTATAATTGCACGGGCAGGTGAGGCTGGATGATGCGACCAGATTGCTTTGCGTAATGGCCCACCACCACCTTCCACCGGGATCTCCGCCGGCCAATTAAACATTTGACTTAATGATAATTGGATCATGTTCCCCGTCCCCCGCCCCCCCGCCCTCCCCGACAAGGCGAAACCATAGGGAATTCCGTTTAACTTGTATGGGCTCTTCGTACAAGGGGTCCTGGCTCGGTGCCGCGGGGTCTGGCAGGCCTTCGTGCTCGTCCATGTGTGGTCTATCAGCAGCTCACAAGTAGGTGTAATGACTGCACTTCAGCGGATCTTGTCTCGTAAATTTCTTGCGCAGTAACTAAGATCGGGTTTAAGTACGCGCGCGCCTTACTCGTCTGGTCTTATTCAGACTCTCAGGATGCAGAATGTGAATAATAGTCTGCATGAGAACGAATGCGCTAAGCCACACATTCCTGCATCCAGTTGCTCCCATTAAGGGCATGTTATACCCTCATCGCTGCACGTTTGTAAACAAACACAATCACTTCCCTTCAGTAAGGGCGAGATTCAAATACCGGTCCATATGACACGGCAAATTAGTCAGAATGTTTATGCATGATAGGGTTCAAGCACCAAACATCACGTACACAGAAGTAAACGAATAAATATGCATGCAAACATACACACGAATACTTATTCATCTTTTTGTCAAAATGTTACCTTTCAGTTCTATATCTTATAAGCATGCGCGCGCGCGCGCGCGCGTGTGTGTGTGAGTGATCTAAGTCATAACAACTCTCCTTTTATGTCACCATTTCAATAACCACATACTGTACAGTTGATCTCTCCGGGAACTTCCAAAGTGAACAAACTATTGTTGAATTCTGGTCTGACTTTTTTACTTTACGGAGGAGTACTAGAAAGTCAAGAAAGACACATATGCCATGCGTAGGTGCTAGTCACAACTATGATGATGAGGCAGAAGCTGCTTGCCATACTCCCTGCGAATGTAGGTTGAATGAAGTAGAGTTTCCAGTGAATATTTACATATATAGATGTAGAAAGACACACACACACACTCCAAGCGCATGAGGGGAAAAAAAGATGCATAGTGTACATCAAACGCAGAAACACACGCGAATACCACATGCATGTAAGTTACATGTAAGTAAAAAAAAAAAAAAAAAAAAAAAAAAAAAATCCACTATCCAGTTTATTTCCTGCTACAGAGTCCTCATCAAATGTAGAATGATGCCCATGTGCCAGGTATATCCATGTCAGTTAGACGGCGGTAAAGTTTCCGATAAAAAGTCTTCCTGAAACGCAGAAAAAAACGTCCACGTGCCAAATACGCGGAGGCAAAGCTTAAAAAAATCATCTTTATGAGAAGAAAGACAGACACACGGAGGCAAAATTTTAAACAGAAATTCATCCTAAGATGAAGAAAGACACACGGATACCGATTACTTTCCGACACACGCTCGTCAAATGAGAAAAGACACCCACGCGCCAGATACGTAAGTCGCATGGAGGGAAAGTTTCCGACAGAATGTTGCCCAAATGAAGGAAGACGGAGAACGCGTGTGGCATATGGGCGTGGTGTTGTGTCGCGCGACAGACGGGAGGCACAAGAACCCGGCGTTGCGTGCGTGGAGGGAATGGCCCCCGGTGCTAAGGAG